TGAGGTAAATTTCTAAATAAGTAGTATCTTTATCAGCCTTATCAAGATATTTTACACCACATTTAGTAAAATTGTTTAGCATTTTAACCTTTTCATCAATTGTATAAGTTGTGTTTTTATATAATTCTTCCGCGTCTTTATCTAATTCACCTTTATGCATATCTTTAAATGATTCTTTAGAAGAATCATTTTTATATTCTTTCAACATGTCAATAAATGCTTTATTAACTTGTTTTTCAATATTTTGTAAAATATCATTCCTTCTTTCATATAATTTCTGCAATGTGTATGTATCATGAATTAATATTGCATTGGAAACATCACCTAATCCAAGTTTCTCAACATATTTTTTAACATCTTCATCATTTTTTAATACAGCAGGCAATCTGTCCATAATAACAGTTCTAGACATAATGTTTATATAGTTAATAGCATCATTATTTGATTTTAATTTCTCACTAATGATTTGTAGAGTGTTTAGTGATGTCATTGAAGCAGGACTAACTAAGTATATTTGTCTAAGTGTTACATACCTCTTATAGTAAACATATACTAAATAGTATATAAAAAATGAAATTAGATAGACAGATAAAGTAGCAATACCTAAAGTTAAAGGATCTTCATTATCCATAATTGAGAGTCTTTTAAAGAATTGTGAACTATTATCCGAATTAATAAAGTATAATGAAGTTAATGGTGGTAGTATAAATAAAATCATTAATAAAAATATTCTATAAATTAACTTAATGGTCTGTAATAACATGAATCCATCCAAACCAACTAATGCTAACATATCAGTGTCTTTTATATTTAACAGTGGAACCATCCAGTTAAAGAATCCTTTATAGTTGTAACATGGATGTTTAGGTCTATTTTCAGAATTTGGATAGTATAACCAAGGTGCCTTTCTCCTAAACAATAAGTATAAAATTATACCTATTATACTCAAAATAGTTTGAAGCAGTAAATTAAAACCAATTAATCCATCAGCATCATCTATTTTAGCCTTATTTTTGAAATTATCGATAACTTGGTTTGCTCCAGAATTACTTGTGTTTTCACCGCTCATTTTTATAAATAAAGGAGAATTGTTTTAATTTAAATTTATCAAACATATTTCAAATTTAATTGGATAATTAATTTATTTCAAAGTCTTTGATAGAGATTGAATTATTTTAGAATTATCGTATTCTTTCTCACAAAATATAGCACAAGAGATCACATTATTACTTAAATTACACGCTTTAGCTAATGCTGATTTTGATGAAACATATCTATATTCTTTTCCTACATTTTCACAATTACATGCAACTGCTTCAGTTAAACACTTTGGATCACAGTCATCTGCTAATACAACTAGAATTGCTGTTCCTTTGTTAATAGATTTAGTTGTTTCGTTATATCCTATCTTAATATTTCTTGATCTTTTTAATTGACTTATTAATTCATAAAGTTTTTGTTGGTTTTGTGGTGATAAAAGTTGTCTTTCTTTAGAATAACTTGATTGAAATGCCATTTTTTGAAGGGTTTAAAAATTTATTGATAAAAATCTTTAATCACCTCATTTAGTTTTTCTGGATTATCATAAATTTCTGATTCTTCTGATCTCTCTTTCATAGAATAGTTATCTAGAATATCAATTAAACTATCTAAATTAGAATTGTATTCTATATAGTTAAAATTTGATTTAGGTTTATGTTTATTGAAAAAATTATCAACCGTTGTTTCACATTTAATTTGAAGAAATTCGTTTGGTAAAATAAAGTTTGGTTCTTTGGGATACACAACTGATGGATTTTGAAATGCACTATCCTGTTCTAATAGAGATTCTATCGCAGTTATGCTTGTAGTACAGTCTTCTATCTTAATACTCTTTAATTTATTTATTATAGGTTCACACTCTCTTCTACTGAAATTCATAAAATAATGTTATTGTTTTTGAATGATTTATTTAAAATTAGTCAATAAACTAGATTTAACCAGTAAAATTATTAGTAAAAACTATTTAAATGAAACCATTAAAGGGGT